CATTTAGTTTTATCACACATCTTTTACATATTCTAGCAGGACGCCGTTTAACATTTGCATTTTCCATCTTTTGCTGAAGAAGGCAACAGTAGTGGCCGACACGTCCGATAACCATATTTTTAGCCAGTGACAACCATTTAATTCCTTTTTACCAATTTTTCACATGCCTGGCTACACACCGAACATTTTTAAATACGTTTTTCTTCAATGTCCGTTCTGAGTGTCATTTTCGAGTAGAAAATTTTACTGTAAATAGAGAAACCTCTTTTCTACATTTACGAGCGTTTGTGAGTCGATTGAGCTTGGTATTAGCCTACTTATCACAGTAACGGTGATGTTATTTTTGTGGCTTGAGCGGCTAAGACTTGATCAAATCATTCGGTTTAACCGTAAAAAAAATTCCTACGCCCACAAAATCACTCGATCGGCTCAAAAACGCTGGTAGACCTAGAAAAGGGGTTTCTCCGTCTACAGTATAAGTTTCGTCTCCAAATATGAAATCAAAAGGGAAATATAAAGATAAACATTTGTTTTACGGCTTTGCTTCTTTGTAAATTTGCCCTGATTACCCATAATGCCCCTTAGAGCATGAACCCCTCTATTGTATGGCATTTACAGAACGCTGAACCCCTTTGGCTCAAGTCTACAACATGGCCACTCATTCTGTTTACATTTGCTACTTAACCATCATCGTTTTATTTCCCTTTTCAGATACCTTTTCAAAGGAAGCTTATTGACGTGTCAATGATGAGCAAGTCGCAGGTAACAGCATGAAAACGAGAACGTGTCAGTTTAAAAGACTGAAGACGTTGCACCTACTACTCTAAATACTTCTGAAAACGTACGGTCATTTTATGCCCGCACTGACTCCAAAGCTCTTTATAACGAAGCATTTAACCTCATCCATGAGAAGTTGTCACCATATTTTAAGTATTTTAGACATTTATTACTGTTGCTTTAGATTAGAATTCTAAACAAAGCTGCGAAGAACTGAACGTAACAAAACCCCAATTCACGGACCGTCTCCCTCCCTTCCCCCTCCGACCACCGCAAGCTTAGTTCACGAGTTGCCATAGTGGAGACTGATATCATTTATAATAGCTGTGAAAAGGCTTTTTTTCGGCTAAAAGCTACTCTTAATTTATTGTGAAATTTATCTCGTTCTCCAGGGATTGGCTACGAGTAAGTTGCTGTTCTGAATTTTCATGTTGCAAAACAAAAACTAAATTTCATAAATAAAAACCAATAAAGGTTTCAGAGAATGTGTTGACCATACAAAAACAACATTCACCCAGAAATTCCACAGGCCGCGTGCTACATCAGATCAGAAGTTATAGACAGTAATTGTAAAAGTACCAAAAAGTTCATTGTTTAGCAGACGTTTCTGGTCTGGACCTTTCGTCAGTGCTAAGTTTTGAAACATCAGATCGTGCTAAATTCAAAATTGTACTCCACCTTGAGGCGTCGTCTTTGAGATGACTGTATATTTGAATACTGTTCTCTTGTTAAATGAATATCCTCTTTTGCGTCATTCAGGCGAGTTCAGTTTATAATTACCAATTAGATTATGAGCTCGAGATTTCTGAGGTGATAGTTGATGAGGCCTAAGGCCGAATCAACTATCACCTCATAGAAATCTCGAGCTCATAATCTAATTGTTTTAGTAGAATTCTAACTGAAATTTGCTTCAAATAACGATTCCAAATATTTCTGGTCTTAATATTAAACTTCTCGCTTTAGAGAGTTCGCGCGGACTGAGTTGTCAATTTGACATTTTGAGTTGTGTGCGCGCGCTTATCAGTTTCTTTCAAAAAATTCGAGTTTTTTTAATTCCAGAAACCGTGAATGTCCTTTTTTCGGTCTTCTCAGGAATTTAATTATCCATTTGTTTTTAAATCTTCTTTCAAAACTTCGGAGAAACGAGAAAACGTCGAAATCTTAGTGACCACACCAAGCCACTGAACACTAATTAAACAATAGTGTTTCTGTCGAGGAAGTATCGGGTGATAATTGCCCCGTGGAAATTTGATGTTCTTAAAACAAATATTTGCCTGAGAAGCGAGGCTTTGAGGGCAAATATGCTAGTTTTAAGAACATCAAATTTCCAAGGGGCAACTATCAGACCGATAGTTTCGAGACATAAACACTCTATTGTCTTTATTGTTTACCACTAAATTTTCTTCCGCGTGCCAGTTCAAAAATCATATAGAATTATTTTCAACATTTTTAGATAAAAGTCGTGAGAGCCAAACATAAAATTTGAAAAAGAAAACCGACAAAAACCAACTTAATACGATTTCAATTCTTTATTTTCTACAAACCCGCTTGTTTACAGAAAATTTTTCACGGACGAGTGTTATCCATCCGGGTATTTTCCGCGGACGGGCAGTATGGGCTGATAGTGTCTCTCCGCGGACGAACACTATCGCACCACGTGATCAATTTAAACCAATGAGAATCGGAGAAAATTTAGTGGTGAAGTGTAATGGCTGAGTGTGCAATGGCTCAGCCAATCAGATTGCAGCATTTGCATTAGTGTTCAAGTAGAATTCTTCTAATGCCTGATAGTATACGAGTAACTTAGCCAATCAGATTGCAGCATTTGCATTGTAACTACAGTAAAAACCCGCATGTAAGAAGCTGGCAGAAAATTACCATTTTGAAACCCAAAAATGTAGGAACCTGTTTAGCCAAGCTTGATCAAGCAGGTTCTTACATGTGGGTTACAGTTAAATTATGATAAACATTTTAACAGTGTGACTTAAAGATTGCAAATTTATATTACAAGGAAATACACAATACAGTTGTGAATAAATACACTGTACGTTCAAGGACCGAACCCAAGTTTCGATTTATTTAACAACTATATCTCCTTCACATAAATTAAGAACCTAATTCAGAACCTACTTAGCCTAAATTATCGATAACTACCCTAAAATACAAGAACCTATTTTGCAAGACTTCAAAAAGTGTAGGTTCTTGTACGCGGGTTTTAACTGCATTTGCAACGCAAGAACGAAACTTGTCGAAGCTAGCGTAGGAATGACCGTGCTTAACTTACATAGCTGTAATCATGCGCAATTCAGATATTAGTGCCTTGCGTCACTAACCAGCGCGTTTGTGAAGCGTTTGTGACGTTTCGAGTGTTACGACAGTTAACGTTAAGTGTTCACTAGCCCATCATTAGCTTGTCAGAAGGAGGCACATTTATCGGATGCGATTGAGAACTGCAATCATCAATCACAAGTATCACCTTTGTCCAAGTGTCAGTGTTTTTTTGTAAATCTCCATCCTGAGAAAATGCCAATAAGCATGGCTCAAGTTCAGTTCTTCATTTTTGTCACAGGTCGACTGGCTAAATAAATATCACAACAGGACAAGAAAAGTCATCGGAGCAGAGCTCCTAAAGCAACGCAAGAAAAATGCCTATCAATGGCTCATGAGAGAAACCGAACCATTACTTTATTAGAAGCGTTACAATGCAGCGGATCCTACCAAATCTCAAGAGACAAATCTCGTTCCCAGGGCCCTCTCTTATTTCCGTTCTTGAAGTAGAGCGAAAAATCCCGGGAAAAGGTTGCCGCAGAGGATGTTCCAGCAAGGGAAACAAGCGCAAACTCATGTCGCAAAGCTTTTTTAAAATATTTATCACTATAAGAGGCTGGCGCCTTCTAACAAGTGTTTACATACAACAGTCCCCAGTACTGTGCAAGCAAGCATGATTACAATGTGACTGATTCTCAAACCAACGCAGGGTAACACTTATTGCTGTCATCAGATGCCACGTTAGAGTGGTTTTCAATTGAGTGTTGTACAACTAAATCCAAAGTAGTCATTCTAGCCAATCACGAAGAACACAGACAATCCAACAAACCAATCAAAACTCATAGTAAAGACATGAAGCTGATGCCAAGCGCGGGAAAACGTGTGCGAGCGATTTGCGATTGGTTTTGGTTTTGCTTCTGATTGGATGAAGAAGTGGCGTGAGGTTTTTAAGCCAGTCATGTAGCGTTGTAATACAAAACCAATTACTTTTCGACACTCGCGTGAAAACCGCTCTATACAAAACAAACAACTTCTAGCTGAACATGAAGTTGCAACACATGCCGCTAATGGTAGAAACTATCATATAATATTTCACAATACTTCACTAAGAAACGAGAACTGTAAAACGTCAAAAATATGACAGTAACGAAGCATTCAGTAATAAAGCTTGAAAGAGAACGATGGTTCAATGGCTACTTTTTCTCTGGTTTAGTCGCAGCACAAAAGAACATCTGTGACCCAGTAACAGCTTTACAATTTAGTGTGAGGTAATTTAGCAGCTCGTGTTGGTCGTCCCGGACACTTCCTGGCTCGTAGAGTCATGGAATGCATGGGTAAACGTACAACTTTCTTTCGAGAACTGCGCGGCGAAGAGCCCGGCTGAGGTACTGGAGAGACAAACGATATCGGACTGTTGGAGGGAGACTGGTGCGGAGTAGGTTTCCTGAACCCTTCTCTGCTACGAAATAAAAGAAAAGATTGAACAATAACTATCCACCTGAGGCCAAATGCTCGGAAACACAACTCAAACCACCTCATATCCGTTTCATTGTTAAACAAGCTCGTTACTTTTCCAATCGCTACTTTTGGGAAAGTCTCTACTATCAGGCAGTGGAAACGTTTATCATATGTGGGGCCGTCTATCATGTTGAAAATTTTTTCGAACAAAACTTTGTGACAGGAATCAGTCTGTTCTAGAGAGAAATTTTACAACTCCTGTACAAATGACGGGTACAAATGTACAGTAATGCATCACACTAAAATTGCCTTATATGAAATTTATTATCCAACGTTTTTCGTTCACGAAAACCCAGATATTAACAGGGACTTCCGTTGCGTGCGCTCAGGAGAACTAAGAGGACTACAGTAAACCTGTTGAACCGGTTTCCTAAAGTAAAAATATACTTGTGACATACTTGTACTCGTTCGACGTGCTCTTTGGGATGTATTACGTTGATAGGTTAATTTACGTGACAGTAAAACCTTCGGATGAATTTTGTTTTAACCTTTGTACAAAGATGTACCTGATATTTAATCAGAATACATATTGGGTCATCTGGGTAGTTTTTGAGTTAAAAGCACATAGCTGAAAATAAGGGTGTTTTTAACAAGTTATACTGTTCTTATGGTAATCTGTTATGTCAAGAAAATGACCACAACTGGTTCACTAAAGATGGAAGTTTGTTTGGTTTCATTTTATAGCATCAAGTGGTAAACTATAGATAGGTAGAAAGTATATATATTGGATGTCATTGAACAATTCATATCAGTAAAATTAATATTACAGTATTATGTTCTTGCACGATACAAGTGTGCTTTTACGCGGAATTGAATGAAGAAGAAATTTAACTTACCTTCCGTAAGTATCTGTCGGGGTCATTCCAGAAGACCTTCGTCTCGCCATGGAGCGCGTCAAGGGTGGCGAGAAGAAGTACTCCAATGAGGGTGTGGTCGGCACTTGTGATGTCGTCGTGTTAGATTCCCCATGTGTCCCCGGTGGTTGAAGGACCGCTGGTGGGGAAAACGTGTATAACTGGTTTGCTTCCAGTGGTGTGTGATGCGACACCTCAGAAATTCTTTCCTGTTCAACACTTAGGGATTGTTTTTGAGAGAATACTAGTGAAGGTGCATCTGGTGGCGAAGGCTGTTTCTCGGGACTTCTAATAGGACTCCTGGCAGGTAAGGTTGCACTGTTATCAGGGACTGGTTCCAGGGTAGTGTACGGTGACTCTTTCGTATCAACAAGACTACTGATCGTCTGCCAAAAAATGAAATAGAGAAATTACAGAATAAATGACATACACAACATTTTTGTATCTCTTCCTATATCTACAAGTTTCACAAAAGTCAATTATCCCCTTCGACTCTATTAGTACATTCTTATTTTTACAATAACTGCAGACATTCTCGAGCGCTGATTGGCTAACTTTCATTGTCAATTAGCGGACAGACAAATGAAATTATAATTTATACGATGTTGACACGACCAGCGAGAGCGCACAATTTGACAATTTTTTATTGTAAAAAACAAATTGACCTCAGTTTTTCATGCGTCTGTCCTGTTATTGATCATGAATTTCGTCTTAACATTGCCAAGGTAGCTCTGGATCTATTCCGATATCGCCTCGTGGATCCACGGCTACTTTGACAATGTTATAACGAAATTGATGATCAATACCAGGACAGACGCATGAAACATGGACGTCAATTTGTTAAATCGCTGAGAAAATTGCTTCATTGCGATTGGCAATAGTGATTGGTGATTTAATGTTAATTTTTTAATTCCACCGCAGAGCAAATTAATGCTGGCGTGTTCGTAATTTTTTCACTTATATAGCGACCGTGAAATTCAGAGCGGGAAAACGCAATAAGTATGCACGAGTTTTGGCTGTGCGCCAGGCTCCAAGTTTGAAAAAATGGCGGGACATTCGACGATCGTGTAAACTAAGAGTTACGAACTTTAACTGCTTTCCCAATTTTCCCGCTAAGCAGCCACATTTTAACGTCACTAATGGAAAGCTAGTGTATTGTTTTCCTGGAGAATCAATTTTTTTCGCACAAAATTAACCTAAAGAAGGTTTCCGAACCCTTTATTTCCCCATGGTATACAGGAAATTTCGGTGCAAAGACATTTTTTTCACAAACCCTCTTTACATATTGCATCGATGCATAAAGCAACCCACTGGATATATAAGCAAGAAAGCCTCTCAGCTGGCAGTGGGAGCCTTGTTTTCTTAACGGAGAGATGCCGAAAAAAATTCATGCTTGCCCAAGTATAAAAATATCAACTGAGCAACATCCTCGTGTACCTTAGTAGCAGTCCACCATCCCCTCCACCATTGCAGCCCGCGTTATTACCTGAGCCCGCAAGTAGGGCTAGGGAAGCGCAGAGAGCTGCGCAGTACGTTTTTCCGCTCTGAACCAGTGAACTGATTGAGGATTACACAACTCGTGACGTTTGAAAGTCCTTTCAGCCGCCCAAAGGCTAGCGCAATTTGGAGAGACTTTTAAATATCATTCCTAGTTTACATCCTTAATTGCACTCGCATTCATTCGATTACCAATACTAATAATAAATTCCGTGAATTAATCATACAAGTTCCTTTCTTCGTTACACGCAATGTCACTCGTAGAACTGGGCAAATGATGCATTCATGACACAGACAGTGAACACGATAGCTCTGACATTACTATTGTACATGCGTGGCTTGAACGCTGAAAAAAAAAAAAAGAATAGTTCCGATTTGTAAGAGCCCAACAAACAGTTCATTACCTTTTCTGGCGAAGACGGCTGCTCACTGACGGGAAATAATCTAAAGATACACAAATAAAGACATGTTAGACACAGGCCACAACTAGGCTAGTAAAGTAAGAATGTAGTAAGTGCTTTATTTGCCGAAAACCTCCTAAGAAACACCACGAAAGTAATCAGCGTCGAGAGGTTCAGTGAAACAAAGTAAATCAACATCCAATGTTAACACTTACATTCCATGGACGTGTATCAGATTAACCTTTAGATTCAGTGAATTTGGTATTACGTAATAACACTAAGTCGAAACAGCTCCCTCACTACATGTTTTGGAATATGTATTGTTCTTCACTGACTTTTATTACAAAACTACGAGGATGATTTTGAGTCAAGTTTTCCCTCTGTGCACCTTATTAGGTGTCTGTATTTCGTGATTGTAATAGCTGTTACTGTATAGCATGTACACTCACTGTGCTGAAGTGTCTGCAGTCTGGTGTACGGTAACGGATGATATCTGTGGCTGAACAGATGAATCACCAGCGCTTTCATCATCGCTTTCTGCATCTGAAGGACAAAATAAATTTTAAACACGAGCTACACTTACCGTATATAAACACTTACTTGGATAAATACAACCGAGCCTCCCCGAGCGATCACTTATCGTATCCGACCTTTGCCTCTAAGCGGTCAATAAGCACTTCGCCTCAGGGAACATTGAGGGTCTCGGGGAAACAAAACTCACCGTTTCCCTTGGAGACAGTCATTTAAGTGTTTTGTTACACCTCCCAAATCAAAAATATAATCACTTTGTTATACCTCCCAACTCAAATACGTTTTCCGATTGGAGGAAAACGTGTCACGTGTCGTGGGTCAAAACTCGCGAACTCCCTAGGGAGACAACAACGTGAACTTTCGACTTGCACGTGATCAGGTCGTGCTCCTTGAAACGGCGGCAAATTTGTAAGCCAGTCGGCGTAAAGCAAAAGATTTCTTCGCAGTTTTTTTCTACTTTTGAGTTAGGAAGTATAATAAAACACTTAATGACTGAACTTCTCGTAAGCGACCACCTCTCTAGATGCCGTTTTGAGTTTCCAAAAGCATTTGCGCATGGCTTAAGCCACTGAAACGACTATAGGCTATAACGAACACTCCCCCGTTGTCCGATTAACCTCTCATAAGCGATCGCATAGGCTCGACATTTAGCCCAAACACACTAAACCAGAAGAACTTTCAGTGCCTTTCTATATTCAGGTGAATTAAAAATGAGTTCTGGCCGGTTGCTGCGAAAAAAAAAAAAAAAATGGCAGGAAATGCTGGAGACTCTCAACAAGGAGGCGTTGCAGTAATACCCATAATCCCTTAATGCTACATGAATTCCAAGGTACAAAACTTGCCAAGTACTGCATCACTGTCATCCAGCTCGTAACTATTGTAGTCTTCGTCGTGAGGTTCCGCTTCCTCAATATCACTGTCGCCTGTCAAGTCCATAACAGCAGCAGTTATCTGAAGTTCAGCTTCCCCCTGGTCATCGACCTCTTCCTCTTCATGGTGCGTAACAATAGTGGCTTCTGCTGTGAATGGAAAACACATCCAAGTCAGGATGAAATCCTTTATAATTGCATGATTACTGCACTTAACTGTCTTCTTCCCCATGACGGGATTGTAGGGATTATAGAACAACATTAGAAAAAATGTTGCCAAAAAAACATAACAAATTATGAATCCTAGCAAGGAGGAAGAGGGACAGTTGGCCATTTACAGAGCGTGATCGAGGAGATGAACGCGGCTCTGCAGTGAAACAACTCCAGCAGGTGATCAGAACAGGACCTGAGCCCGGAATTTCCCAATTTAATTTTCGGCGCCCTAACACTCCACCGCGTTGCCCGCTGTTCCGAATCTGAGAATCTGCACGTAAAAGAGGCTTTTATTTCTCTGAATATACTGTTAGTCCTCAGCTACAAGAATAATAATAACAACAACAACAACAACAACAACAACTCGACCAGTATTGTTTGATTGAAAGCGAACATTCTATCACGAAATCTCAGACTTCGTAGTTCAGTGCTGTTTCAAGAGGAAAGTGATTATGGCGGTTCGTTTTGTTCATTGTCACGACAAACAGGGCAGCTTACAATCTTTACGAAAACCGTAACGTCTGGTAAAATACAACATTTCTCCATCTTTTAGATGATGCAAACGCATTTCTTAAAGTTCAATCGACATCCGCTTCGACGACACATGTACATGAAAGACGAAGGCGGCCTGTTGAAAACCTGCATGGCAAAATGCCTTCCCGCGCCATTTGTGTCAAATTTCTTTATTTCCTATTTGTATTTTAAAAACGATTATGGAACGATGATGACAAACTTCTATCTGTACCAACGTTCTTCTTCCTAGGAAAATATGACGAGCAAAGAAGAAGACTTTACACTAAGCACTGCCGTACCTTGTACTTCCGCCTGAAGGTCAGTTAGAATTTGTGAAGTATGTTGCCGGGTCATGGGCTCAGCACTGACTTCCATGCCATCTGTCCCTCCACTTATGTTACTTGGCGCGGGAGAGTCAACTGTTTCTTCTTGGAAGACAGGTGTCGAGACATCAAGTTGTTTAATGGGACTGAATGAGGTACAATAGAATATATACAGTGAGTAAAAACAGAATAAAATTAAATTACCATAATACACTCCATCCAATGGTAAAACGTTAACTCAATTTCAATGTTTCGTGCTCTGTTTGTTTATTTACTAAGAGCGGAGATGTTACGTGGACAAAAAAATACTAGGTGAACAAACTTAAAACACACTATGCAGCATTTCTTTCTCAAACTGGTCCGAGAATGGTGCAAGATTTAGTTTCATCTCTTCTCTTAAACCAGGGAAAATGGGGCAAGATTTATTTTCATCTCTTCCCTTAAGCGAGGGAAAATGGGGCAAGATTTACTTTCATCTCTTCTCTTAAGCGAGAGAAAATCTTCTCTTAAGCGAGGAGAAATAAATTCAAAGTTTATGGAGGGTAAACACTGCCTGAAAATTCAAGAAAAAATCTGTCCAAACTTTTTAAATTTTTTGTTGACGTTTACTTTTTGGTTACTAAAGATACTACGATTAAAAGAGAACTCATCTCCTCCTGATTACCTTGTGGAGGGAGACGATGATACATTCTCACTAGCAAACCTGAAACAAGAGATCAGTTTGTATCATAGCTGGTTAATAATAATATTATTTACCAGCAAGTCTTTTCGTGACATGTGTTAGTAACGGTATTTGGACTATGGCACAAAGGTAACAATTCTTTTTGTCTCGTATCCTCGAGACCAAGGTCACGTGGACACCAGGATATGGGGCGACGTTGCTGCATTCCTGTGTACGTGTTCTTTGCATGCCAAATGTCAAATGTAAGATTGCTGTGAATGGAGGTTGGGGCAACACGCGGGTTAATCAGTTTTGGCTACGAAAGACAGGCATAAAACGTTGAACTAACGGGTTTCAAGCGCCTCGTTTTTACATATACACATTTAAAAGTAATTCCGGAAAATGAAACCCTCTCGAGGACAAAAAGACATAGAATACGTAACTGAGTAATATACAATAGTTCGCGTTTGGCACAAAGGTTAGTCTGCGGCTACTGTTTGTTCCAAAAAGTGTTCCGTTTTCAGAGGACGCTCGACGAAAACTCTGAGCTTCGTGGAACGACTAATACCCACTATTATGTTTAAAGGAGGCATATCGTATCTTGAAAAATTTCCGAGATGTTTCAAGTTCTTTTGTTATGTCTAATCGCAACAATCCTTGTTACTCTTTGCTTTATTATAGTCTTAAAAGCTTTTTTGACCGTAGTGAAGTAATATTTGAGGTTTCCTCAATTTTAAGGTAACTTTGTACGTCCAATAACTCCATAATGACATGGTGGCATATCACCCAAGGGATATCATTGAGTATTCCCCAGGTTTGGCTGCATCACGTGACAGGTGGCCTGCGAACGCAGACGTATTTCCGGCTGTCGCTTGTCTCCGCCGAAACTAACATCTGCGAACCCGAGCCAGGAAACGATTTCTGTGACGTAATGACTTTTGTTTCTCCTTGGCCAATCAGATTCCATGATAGAATGAAACTCGAGTGCTCCTCGCAGCGAATACCTCGCGCGGTAATTCTGGGGCTACCTGAGCTAAACTGTGATTGGCTTAAAATTCCTACGTCATAGAAATCGTTTCCTGGCTCGGGTTCGCAGACGGTTATTTCAGCGGAGACAAGCGACAGCCGGAAATACGTCTACGTTCGCAGGCTAGTGACAGGTTAATAATAAATACCTATCACGCGCAAGAAAGATATTGAATGTGTCATAACAAACGATATTGTAAGTGTTTTAACATGTGAAATACACGAGAAAGGGCAATCAAGAGTTCACGTTGTACCTTTAACGTAAATTGAAATTTGTTCTCATTTTACTGTCAATATATTTTTATTTAACGTTGGGGTGTCCAGGGTTAACAGCACAAGTTAAATATACTGACTCCTTTATAAAGTTGGTTCATTCAAACATTTCTTTACCTTATACGTCTGCCTGGAGTTAACTCTTCCCTTTGAGAAGCACTGTCACTTGCTGAAAAAAGTTCAGACAGCTCTGTTGAATAGCTCATATTTGGAAACTGAACAAGTTCCTTCTAAACAGACATTGAAACATAAATAGACTATCTCTGAGAATGTGATCTAATGGTTAGCACCATATTTTGCACCCAAGATCAAACACTGGCTGATGTCTGCGTTGTATTCTTGAACAAGGTATGTTACTCTCCTTCGGACACTCTGGTGAAAAGTCAAAAGACAAAGTACTGGGGGATGAAGAATCAATTCTCCTTGGAAACCGTTTGAAGCTCCCTGTGAAGAGGGCGACTTTATCCCTTGTGCAGAGCGTATAATCATCATCATTGGTTAACCCGATAATTAGATACTTGATTATCAACTTGAAGATGACATAGATTAATTAACCGATCATTAAACTGCTTAACTGCAGTGCTGGAAAAGCGGAGGTTTTCGAGTGTTAAACATTGATTTACTGGAGCATTGTGCTTCCTTGTAGGGCTAGGGCTTAAAACGTCAACTTTTCCAAATTCGCTACGCAGTTAATTAATCAACTTCACGTTAACAATCAACCACGCGTTGTACTTACCCCCGGACACAACGCGTCATGAAGGTTTATTTGGAATCTTACTGCTTTGTTTGGGGATGACATACACACAGTAGTTTCATTTTAGTTTTGTGCTGCCATGGTTACATAAACAGATAAACAGCAATTCTTAACACTGAGACGGCGGCGGCGGCGACTGCTACTACTTCTATTAAGCAATTAGATTATGAGTTCGAGATTTCTATCGCGTGATAGAAATCGAGAGCGAGTAATCTAATTGTTTTAGTATAAATCTACTAGTCGTTCAAAACTTCACCTAAATCCTCTCCACAGACACTTCGAAAACGTCAAGAGGCGGCCGACATTTCGTTAACAAGGGCACAATGCTATCACAGAATAGATAGTGAGTAGCGTAGCCAATCAGAGAACGGCATTTGTAATAGAACGCTAGTAGATTTATATTAATACGAAATAACTTCATAAAACAAATTATAGAAACCTACCACGAGTCTCAATGGACTTAGATAACTGGTCTGAGGAGCCACGCCTGGTCGTTGGGGGAGAGGACGTGGGAGAGGGTTGGGGCGAGCTGCGACGTAGCACTCTTGTAATCTGCGATCACACAAAACAACACAGTCTTATTGACGTTTCTTTCTCCACCCTAGCTGTCCTGTGTATTTGAGTTCACGTCACTGTAACCGAGTATTTACCTTTAATATTGACTGTGGTGTAGCAATGTTAACTGCCTCAGGTTTTGTCACTGATGATCCACCAGCCATCTGAGTAAAAATACAAACGACAACTTCAATTCACAAACATCTAACTTACTTATGACCCACAGTGCAACAATAAACGTACAAAGAATCACAACTAACCGGCTTTACTTTGACCACAGGAGGCGTTGCTAACAAAGAGAGAGCTTCAGCACCAGAGAAAAACTGCCGCCTGCTAAACAAAAGAAATCAAAGGCGCGATGAACTTTATAATGGTAATTGAACTGAGTGGAGTGCAATTTGGTCTGAAATCATACGCGTGATTTCAAAATCGAACGAGCGCGCAGCGCGAGTTCGATTTG